TTGACACTCACAGGCCCTACCCTCAGCTAGGCTACCCGGCAGCCTGCACTCATACTCTCGGTATCCTCTTTGATTAAACGTGTCCCGAGTCAACTCTTCTGCTAGCCAATTATATGCTTTTCAAAACACAGGTTATTCTTCACTTTTTAAAATACTTAAATGAGTTCCACCTGCTTAGAATAAGGCCAGGCACTTCCAGAGTCTAGTAAGATATGTTATGTTTGACCTCCTGTCTCAGACACAGTTCACTCACTGTTTACTCCCAGGTTAGTGTGCTGTGCTGCCACAAGAGGACTTGGTGGCATCCTTCTAAGCATGTAGGCATCTGTCTGGGTGGTCCTGCTGCTTTGCTGTATCGCTGCAGTGTCATTCCTTTGAGAAGGCTCTCAGGAGCTCCCCATAGAATCACTCACACCTTGTTCAGGACCTCTCTGCTTGCTATTCACATCTAATACATGTGTGCTCACACACTATACCTGTATATTTACATATGCTAACAATTATTAGCATCTGGCCATTTTGCTAATTGTAGCCATCCTAATATCATAGCTTTTGCTCATAAGACTAGAAAGCCTTCTTAAACTTTACAGTTCTTATTAGTAAAGTAACAGTTAGCTCAAATTTGGACTCAACAAACTACTATTATATAATGTAAGGGCAATTGAGATCTTAGCATTAGTAGCCTTAGGAGTGAAAACAGGACAGCACCATTATCAGCAGGAATGCATTGAGAGTGTGGTCCAGGACAACTAAGAGCCCAAAGGCAAGAGGGCCAGGCATATATATTTTGAGAAAGCTTGACAAGTAGGTTTAGTGACCCTCCCACCCATCTACCCCCATCACCTTATTTCTCTAGTTCCTGTACAGCCAAACCCACAGCTTTTTAGGAACCCAGGTTAACATGATCCCCCCCACCAGCCTGCCCCTCCTGTGCAAAGGATTGCAGCATGCAGGAGCAGTACTTACTGCCAGCAAGTAAACGTATTTGAATGGTTAATCCCAAGAACACAGTCCAGTAGGAAGTTGGATGACACACATCCCCCACCTTAGATTGTACCTTGGGCCCTCCCACAGCCTCCCTCTCTACTGCTTTCCTTCAGCAAGTGGCCCCTGAGAACTATCTGTGCACCAGGTTCCTTGCTATAGACTGGGAATACAACAGTAACAGGGCAAGCAGACACTACCCAGAGAGAAACATGTCCTTCAGCAAAGAAGGTCAAAATCAAAGTCACTGTGTGAACTCCACTGGCAGGCAGTATGCTGGTCAGTGACCTGCAGAGGAGCCCAGGCTTTGGCATTCTGTGGCACATGTACTCCCACAAAGGTCAGCTCACACCAGAATGACCTCACCAGCACTGGCCAAAATGCACAGCAGCATGAGATGGTACAGGAGTATGTGCCACCCACCTTCCCCTAGGAGGCCAACTTCCAAACAGAGATCACAGTAATGTTCAGTAAATAACTGGGAAATGCTGTTTGGTGATCCTTTATCTTTATTTTGTATAACATGTATTTAAGTATAAATTTAAGTGACTTTAACTTTCAGTTTTCATTAATAGCTATGTTTTAGCAATGGGTTTACAAATGCCATGAATATTTAACAATCAGCTCTGGCCAGCCAATACAAGGACTGCCTCAAGCCACCACTAAATAAACTCAAGAAGATAAAGCAGGTGTTTAATGAGGATGTACTTTATACTGAGTGGTTCATGAAATGTTTGAGTGGGTCTTTGATATTAAAAAGAGTCAGCAATACAAGTTCTGAAACACAGAAAGAACGATGAACATTTTGAAGAGACAGCACACTTCCTGAGAAATACAAAGTCAGGATGGTGATGTTCAATGAGCAGGATTAGACTGGAAAATCATAGCAGGAGCAACTGGAAGATCATGTGCAGTCTGAGGTGGGATATCCTAAGTATCTGGACCCTTCACTGGAACTCTAATCAGCAACCAGGGTTCTGGATTGTGTACTTGGGCCACACGCAGGCACGCACACATGCGCGCATGCATATGAAAAGTCTTAGGGAAAGAGTACGCCTTTAACTTTAGCTAGATCCTACCTGCCACTCACTTGCCAATTCCATATTCTCAGGCACACCCTCCTCTTTTGCTTGAGTACCACATTCCTAACTCTACTTAGATGCCTCCCAAACATGTAGGATGTATCTGGTCCAGATCATGATAATCCACAGCTAACAACCTTACTTCCCAGACCGAAACTGCTCTGCTACCTTACTATACCTGCTCCTCCCTTGTATTTCCTATCACTGAGAGATCAGCATCTGCCCAGTTGCCAAATCACAGGAATCCAATAGCCTACTTCTGACTGCCCCCACTTTCCTTGGGTCCTAAATACAACTGGTTCCCAGGGCCAAGATCTCTTGCCCTAAGTATCACATAAAACCATCACACTTTGTGGTTCCCAGCCTCACTGGGCTTCACCCCCTTGCCTGCATTAACCATTTGTCCTAACTGATCTCCATGCTTATGAATCACATCTTCCCCACCCTGAGTTTCTTCCTACCTACATCTTCAGAGGGAAAGGCATTACTAATGAAAATAATCACGCTAGAAGTCTAATGATTTTCTTATTTTCTACAGCATAAACACATAAGAGAAGATTTAATCCTCAATAAAAGCCACAAATACTCAGAATACCCATGATATGTCAAATTCTTTTAGGAAACACCTTTTGCTTCTGTTCTTAATTCTGTCTTATCTTTTCTTTATCATTCTTTAATCAGTTTCCCCACACATGCAAGGCAGTGATTTTCTTACATTATTACTTTAGCAGTCCCCACCTGCCAGCATTCATACTACAGAAACTCAGTTTTGGTATCATTTCTTAGACGTCTTCTCAAGTCACCAAATGAACCAGATGTCTTTTCCCTTGATGCCAACAACATTCAATGCACGCTTTAATCACTGCCCTTATTTATTCCACTTAATTGTACTACCTGTTTACATTTACCATTTCCTGTGTCCTTAAAGGCAAGGCAGTCTTTGGCACTGAGAATAAAAACTGGGAGACTGCAAGCACTCCTAATGTTTGCCATCATTAGCAATATCTTAATGTCACTAAAGAACGACAGATTAGACAGAAAGTATTGCACAATTAACAGTGTGGTAGAAGTTAGGCAGTCTGAAGTAGGCTATCAAGTATGTGGTCACAAAGATTAGCCAGAACCACTGTTAGAGGCAACTGAGCCAGGCAGTGGTGGCACCAGAGGCAGATGAAACTTCTACAGAGTAAACCCTGTCTCAAAAAACCAAAGAGCCAAAGGGGGTCATGGTGCTGTCCAGTTTCAAAAGTAGAAATTCACAAAAATTTTAGGATTAAAAAAAAAAAAACAGATGAAGTAGAAACTAACTCTTTTTATTAACCACACACAAGGAAAATTCCAACCCACACACAAACCCATTTAAAGGCTAAGGAGTTTCTTGAGTTGGATCTACACAACAATCCCCTGCTTTAGAACAACAAACTGTAAAACAATGGTCAAGTATTTCAACCAAAGAATTGTGTGATGAAGTCAATGGCAAAGAGGCTACAGCCACAAGCTTTAAGGCAGCAGTTCACAGCAACCATAAATGTAAACTTCTTAAGATAGTCAAAGAAGTTTGAAGTTTGCCCACATTCCAAAAGATATCCTATTCTCAAGGTAGCAATATTCTCTTAGAAACCAAGAAGTTTGTTTGGTTTGCTCGTGTGTGTGTGTGTGTGTGTGTGTGTGTGTGTGTGTGTGTGTGTTTTCTTTTTTGATATTTCTACACAAGCTAACATTACACTGGACTTAAATCAGAAACTGGTGTTAACTGCCATGCCATGGAAATATCCTTTTAAAAAAGCATTATTTGCCAAAAGTGGTGGTGTAGACCTGTAATCCTGCCTCTCTGGAGGTTAGGACATGAGGATTGCAATGTCCAGGACAGCCTGGGGCTTTGTAGCTAGTGCCAAATCAGAGTACAAACCATGAAAATTGTTTCAAAAATAAGCTATTAAAAATAAATTTCTCCAGGGCTGGAGAAATGGCTCAAAGGGTTAAGAGCAATTCCTTTCCAGCACTCATATGGCAGATCACAACAATTTTAACTTGATTTCCAGAACTGGCTTCTGATACACCAGACACCAACACATGATGCACATACATACATGGAAATAAACATTCGTACACATAAAGTAAAAATAAGTTGTCCCCAGGATTGTACAATCTTTGTGTGAAGAGGCACAAAGCTTCCACCTAGATAATGAATATTGTAAACTCATGAATATCGTTAAGCGACCAACAGTCTGTTGGAAACCAAATCAGTTAAAAGCAGAAGAGAAGTAATTCTGGAAGAGGGATGTAGAGGCAAGTTGGAGTGAAGCCAATGGCAATAAGAGTCCTACCCAGAAACTTGTGAAAAAATAATAGCAGACAGTAATTTCCAGAAGTTTCAAGTCTTCCTCAATTAGAGTGTTAAGAACTCTACTCGCATATTCTAACTGAATATTTTTCTCCCAAGAATACATCAGGGGGTTAAAAAAAAAAAAAAAAAAAAAAAAAAAAAAAGGCGGGAGCCAGTGGAAATCTTCCCCTGCTAGGTCAGCCCGCATGTTTCTCAAGGGGCAGAACTCTGCAGACACGCCCTCGGTGGACAGGGGAGCCTCTAATTCTCCCCTCGTGCTGGTGTACCAGGCTCCAGGCCTGATAGGGGAAAGGGACAGAGGAGCCACCATCGACAGAAACTTGTAAAAGCAGACACGTTTACCGCGACGCAGACACATGGTTGCTGTGGATACCAAGCCAAGTACCCAAATCCTGCACAGAGGGGCGTCAGGATCAGCTCTCTAAGACAAGGATCGTGGGCTGGGGGGACAGGGTTCAGGTTGGGCTGTCCTTTCCCAAGACACAGCCCCGGGCCTCAGTCCCCAGGCGCCTACCGCGTAGAGGAGCAGAGTGCTGGGGCTGGCAGAGCCGACCGAGAAGCGGGAGCTGGAGGAGCTAGGAACGTCCATGGCGCGGCTGCCGTCCCGGGCGGGGCCTGGGCTCGTCTGCTACGCGGCTGTGGTGCAGCGGCTAGGGGCGGTTCTTTCGAACAGGGCGGCTCCAATCCGCCCAGGGCAGTGGCACTCAGTACGGCCACCGCACGGGACCCCGAGCGCCACCATCTTAGCCAGGACGGAGGCCTCACAGGGCCCGGTGGAGCACGCGCAGAGCGCCGGAAGCGGAAGCGAAAGCGATGGATTGTGGGCAGAATTAGAAGATTCGTGCAGATTCTCATGGCGGAAGAACGAGACTCGGATTCGACCGAGCCTCAAGGCTCTGAGACACTCCTGGATGCTGTGCTGAGGACCCTCTACGACCTGGGTGAGCGTGGCTCTCGAGAGGAGGCTGCCGAGGACAGCGGGAAGCATCCCAGACTCCGCAGAACCGCGGGCCACCCGGAGGCTGCTCGGGTCACCCGATCTCCTGGCGCCACGCCGGCTGGCCTTACCCCTGCGGCGTCCCCCTCTCGGAGACCTTCTCACCCACATCTTGACTCTTCCTCACTGTGCGGGAAAGAAAAATCAGAGCGTATTACTAAACACAGGCATCTGTCTGATACTTAGGCAAAAAAGAGCAATCACACAGGCTGAAGAGCTCACACAGATTTCCTGACTTTTAGAAACCAAACACGTTGCAAAAACACTGTTAACGTTTTAGAGCGCTTACTCAAAATCTAAGCTCACTTATACGGTTAAAAAAAAAAAAAAAAAAAACTTAAAATGTGGAAGAACGTACCAGAACAACCCTTATATGTCCCTACATTGATCCCTTTGTTACAAGCACCAGAGGTTCATGGAGCTTGTTACAGGTTGCCCTTCAGAGCTCGGATATTAGGCCTAGGGCCTCATATCACGTTTTTAGCCTTGTCCTGTGCAGTTTCTCTGTGTCTTTGACCTCTGACTTTCACAAGTCTTAGGGCTAATTTTTATATTTTAAATGCAATTTGTCTCCACATATACTGGAATTCATTGTTAGTTGCTCAATGACTGGACTCTTTTTTTGTGTGCATACTGCCAGAGTTAAATTGTCTCCAAGGATACACTCAGCTGGTGTTTAGAAAGGTGTTATGCTCATACTGTAGGTCAGTAATGAGGCCTAGAATTCTGGCTCAAATTCCAGGTCTCTGTTGAGAGTCTGAGCAGAGGAAACAAACAGAAGATGAGAAATTCAGTAAGAAGTAAAGGTGTTTTTACTTAATTTCTAACTGAAAGAAAATAGGAAGACTGGGACACGCACTTGTAATCCTGCAATGTGGTAAAAAAAAAAATACTAGTGTAGAGGCAAGTGTTTTTAATACAGTGGATGAACTGGGAGTTACGATATGACATCGATGCCACTAAGGAGAAAGTGCGAGGACTAGAGCAATTGTATTAATACAGGTCAGAGATAGATATCCAGCTGCCTAGGCAAGAAAGACAGCATTTTGATTTCTAAAAATTGTGCAAAAACACCTTACTTGAAGAAAAACAATTTGATTCTCTTTTTTTAAAAGTTGCATTTTTACTTTTCCAAGTTTTATTGACTTATTATGTGTGGAGGAAATATTGTGTAGGTGTTTGTTGTCGCCCCCACCATGTTGAAACAAGGAAACAACTTATGGGTATCAGTTCTTGATTCCACCATGTTGGTCCTGGCGATCAACCTTAAGTCATCAGGCCTGGCAGCAAGCACTCTGGCCCCAAACACTTTGTTTCTTTATTTGTACCAATGGGTACCAGTGTGTGGACCATATGCACAGTGACATTCACTTGGTATCGGTGTTAACTAACTGAAATACTTTTTAATTTTTTTTATGTTGAAACAAACAGGAGAGACCGAGAAAGGTAAAACAGAGCCTAAAAGGATTAGAAAGAAGAGAGAAAAAAAGAGAGATGTGGAGACGGTAGCACATGCGACAGCAGAGCCACTTTCCCTGCCTGGACCCCTTGTAAGAGGACAGAAGAAGAATGCTTCCAGCTTTTTCAAGGAACTCAAAGAAGAGCTACACTCTGCTCCTGCTGTCCCCTCAGCACCCACTTCAGGACCAGAAGTCCCTGCTGCTTCTGCACTATCGCACTCTCCCCAGAAGAACAACAGCAAGCTAGTAGAAGTGGTAGAGTTTCAAAGCAGAAGTAAAAAAAGAAAACCAAAGTCAGATCAGGATGAGCACTCGAAGGTATTGAATCAGCTGGTCTGTACCTGTGTGGTAAGGGTGCTTTAGGTGACCATAGACTGTAACTGGGACCCCCAAGGTTACCTTCAGGCCCCAGCATTTGGTAAATGACTCTTAGGACTCAGCACTTGGTTCTTAGCCATCTGTGGGCTGGCTGGCTGACCGACTGACCAACCAGAGTTCCCAAACCCAGTGGCCCAGAGCAAGCTGAGCACTGACGATAAATCTCGGCGTTGATGTGAATGCTAGGTAAACTTAGGACATTAGTGCCTTGAGGCTTCAGGTGTACAGAAACACTGTGGTCAGCAGAGTATTCATTGCTCAATGCTTGGGAAGTAGCCAGCTACAAATAAAGGAGCCAAGACTGTCTTAAGGGTGTCAGGATTGGCCAGGCATGGTGGCTTAACACTTTTAATCCCAGTGCTCAAGAAGCATTTGGGTCTCTGTGAATTCAGGGCCAGTGTGGTCTACATAGTGAGTTCTAGGTCACCTAGGGTTACATGGTGAGACCCTGATCTCTCCAAAAGAAAGGGTTCCAGGTCTTGATAAACCCAGGCCTGCTTAGCTAATCTTTCCTACTTAATAATCGTTTTGGTTGTTAGTGGTTAGAAGAAAACCAGTTTTCTCTCTGCCATTCCTGTTGTGTGTCAGCCACTATCCTAGGACATAGCACTGACCAAAATGCACACCAGTTCTTGTTCCATGAACTTACAATCTAGTGCAAAAGTAATTTTATTTTCCTATGAGTACTCTCCTTCCGGTAACTGTAAATGTTACCCCAAATTCAGTTGGTCTTCTCCCCATTTCCTTGCAACAAGAATATACTAATTTTTTTTCCAGATTCATTGCTAAAATCCAGATATACCCTATTCTTTAGCCTTACTCATGCCCCATAAACCTTTACCTATCAAAAAAAAAGAAAATGGGATTGTCATTTCTTAAAGCAGCTATTAGAAATTACCACATTGTACCTCAAAGCAGTAGAGACGTATTAGTCTTGTAGAGGCAGTAGCCCAAAGCCAAGTATGGCAGGGCCGTGTTCCCTCTGAGAACTCTAGGAATAGAGAAGGCTTCCTGGCCTCTGGCCAGGGTAGCTCCTTGCACCCCATGGCTCTTGTTGGTATAATTATAATCTCTGACTTGCCTTTTCATGCTTCTTACCCCCATGGATTTAAGCCCATAGTTCCTGTACCTCTCTCTCTCGGGGTACCTATCATTGGTTTAGGCTATCCCCAGAATCCAGGCTGCTCCTCGACTCTAGAGAGCCTTAATTGCATTCTTCAGATCATTTTTCTAGATAAGGTCCCAGAGGTAGGTTTCTCAGTTTAGGACATGGCCATTATATTTTTGATAGCTACAGTTTAACATTGTTCTTTATGGCTATATGTATGTGTGTTAATGCCAATTTTTGCTACATTCTTATTGTTTTAAGCAGCATTCCTTGGACTAAGAGGTTCAGTGATATAGCCCTTACCTAACATTCAGGAGGTCCAAGGTTTTTTACCCAGGATTGCAAAACACAAGCAAATCCATTAGTGCTTTTGAATTTAAAAGCCATTTCATACCTAGTGCTCACAGCACTTCCTCCGATTATTAGGATAGTGGGCTGCAAGCAATCATACCTGCTTTTTCTTTAGGATTCTAGTTCAGCTTCCCACTCATGCTTCAATTATTAGCACTGGAACCATCATAGATAGGCCAAGGAATGGCCATCTCCTTTTACTTTAGAGCCTACAAGAATATGTCTTTTATGTTGTGCCATGGTGCGGGAAGGTAGGAAAGCATTATTTTGTGTTAACCAGGTTTCAAAACTAACATGACCTCTCTCTGTACCCTTTCTCCCTGCCTCAAGTGTTCCAGGACCCAGTTTTTGCATTCCTTCTTGCCATTCTTTTTTAGAGTGGAAAGTGCTCCTATTAATAGAATGGGCAAAAGAGTTGGCATTGTGTGAGACTGAGTTTCCTCCTTGCTCAGTAATAGAATGTCTGCAGGCTGTTAAGCTGTCAAGTTGAGCCTTGTTCTCTCAAAGCAGGGATACCATCATAAGGCATTCCAAAGGCAGGTGGCAGAAAAAAATGACTGATGATAAACTCCATTAGATACTCATGGAATTGGAGAACTTGAGAAAGGAAGAGGTGGTAGTGAATTTTGGAAATAGTCCAAATCTAAACCATGAAAATGACCTTTTCCCCAGAACTTAGACCCAAGCCATATATTCAACAATGAAGCTGTATCCTGCGTCATCACGGACTTAATGGGCTTGTCTGGGAGCATGGCACCATTTCAGAAGTTCTTTCACAGTAAACTTAGATAAGTGATTCTTTCTTCTATAATGCACTGTGTACTCGCTACTTGGCTGTCCTTAGAGACCATCATTGGAATGTGTGACTGCTGTACTGTCTACTGTGGTTATAAAGTTATAAACATAAAGAGTTGCAAACACAGAAACAAATAGGGTGCTAAGAGGAATAGGCAGAGGCTACTCTAGTTAGAGTAGTCAGGGAGTAAGGCCCTGCCTGAGCAGGTAATGCTCAGTATTAAATAGTACTTGGAGGGGAAGAAGAGAACCACATAAGCAGGAAAAACAGCCTTGCCAACCCCCGTGAGTGCAAGGTGCCTGACTGGTTCGAAGAACTGGGAGCCCAGCAGGAGTAGGACAGAGGGGAATGTGGCATGAGATGAGGCACAGAAGCTGGGGAAGCCAGCCTTTCCCAGGTCTTAGAATCCCTGAATTCAAAAGAATTAACATGAAGGCAAGCCAGCCAGGGTTACAAACAAAACGAAAAAGAATTCCAGGCCAGCCTGAACTACATGATGGAGATCCTTCCAATCAAAACAAAGCAAAGCAAAAATCAGTTAAGTATGTGGTGAGCTGTGACCCTGGATGGGTTTGAAATGGGGTGGCCTAGACTGGAGCTTGAGGAGCAAATGAAAGAACCTGTTTTTTTAAGCTGGTGTTGGTGATACATGCCTTTAATCCTAGCACTTGGGAGGCAGAGTCAGGCGAATCTCTGAATTCGAGGCCAGCCTGGTCTACAGATAGCTTCCAGGATAGGCTCCAAAGCAATACAGAGAAACCTTGTCTCAAAAAAACAAAAAACAGTAACAAAAAGAACCTGTTTTTTAAAATGGGAGTGCAACTTCATAAGAGGAAGGACATTCTTGGGCTTTTAAGCCTTGTGTCAGGTAGCCTGAAGCCATTCAGGTGGCACTTGGCTCCTAGGGCATTGGCAGTGGGGTTGTCCTCTTCACTTCCCTCAAGCTGCTCAGTCTCCCCTGTCACAACTCTATGACTCTGAGGCTCCTTAATGGCCTAACCAAACAGGGAGCGAAGCAGAGCATGGTTGTGCTCACCTTCAGTCCCTCCTTCAGGCAGATCCCTGTAAATTCAAGGACAGCCTGGGCTACATAGAGAGACCCAGTTACAGAATGGGGAGGTGGGGGAGCAGAAAGCAGGAAAAGAAGGGGACCCTTTGTCCTCATCTCCACACTCTGCAGTAGGAATTGCCATTGCTCCCCTCCTTCCCACCCATTGACCCTGGTACTCGGGAAGTGATGTCACTGGTCTGCAATGAAGTGTGCTGCGTACCATGTGTGCTGTTCAGAGCTTATGAGTACAACTTGTCAGGATTCTGTTTGGTTCTTTGATTAATGCAAATTTATTTGGCAGACAAACATCATAAGACTTCTCAAAAATCACTTGTGTTTCCCGTTTGACGTGAATTTTACAGAGTGGTTTACTTCACTGGTGCTAGGGATAGAAATGGAGGGGCCTTGCACACAAAGGCAAGCCTCTCCCTCTGAGATATGCCCCAGGCTGTTGTGGAGGTATGTGCTGCTGGGTTCCAGTCCACCTGAAGGTCCTGTGTCTCTGTGTTTGGTATTGCAGGCAGAACTTGGCCCTGATTGGCTGGCCATTCAGATAAAGGATTGTGGATCTGAAGCAGCACAAGTCAGGTTCTGACCTCAGGCTCTCTGGCTTGCAGTCTATGTACTTAGCTGCTGCTTGGGTGATAGAATACAGGTTACCTGGACTCTGTGGCCTTTGATAAGGCGAGTAGGAGGAGCCAGAGGCATCACCAGACCTCCCCAGGTCATTGCCAAATAGCTATGACAACAGAGTGCTTATGCAGCTCACCCTCTTCGTTCTGAGCGCCCATGAGGCCAGGCTTTAGGAAGAGAGTAATCTAGTTAAGGTACTTCTCACTGGCCATATGAGTAAGTCCTTAATATTTTTAAAACTGTCTTCACTTGGGGGGGAAAAAGTGTTTACTTACCCACCCACTCTAACTAAAATCTTAAAAGTTTGTCTACCTAAATTTTTTTATTATATTTTATTTGTTTGCTCACAGGATGGTGGGTGGTGTGGGGCATCTGTGTGGAGGGCAGAGGACAGACAACCTATAGGATTCATTCCCTCCTACCATGTTGGACCAGGGAATAAACTCGAGTCATTAGGCTTTGTGGAAAGTGCCTTTACCCAAAGCTGTGTCATCTCATTAGCCCACTAATAGCATTTTTTTTTCTTTGGGAAGGGTGGGGTTTTGTTTTATGTTTTTCAAGACAGGGTCTCACTATGTATCTCTGATTATCCTAAAACTCACTATCTAAACCAGGTTGGCCTTGAACTAACAGAGGTCTTCCTGGGATTAAAGATGTATTAAACTATACCTGACAATTTTTTCTTTTTTAAATGCAAGCAACACAGAAGAAAATGCTTTCTGGCAAGTCAGCTAGCCCACAGACAGGTTCACTGAGCCCAGAGCCCAGCTCCTATATGGAGAAGAAAGCAGGGGACATGAGATTTGCATTGTAATTGGATATCCTTGCTATGCAGGGCAGGGACTGGGCCTTGAGAAAGCAGGATAGCAACTCTGGCTGTCACCACTGGCCCCCATATGGCACAACATCTTTTTTAGAGGTTGTGTGGAATTACTACTCTTGATGCTGTGACAGATGGGGCCTGAGAGATGGATGATGACTGTTGCTGGCCAAATGTCTTTGTCTTTGACAATAGTCTTCAAGCATGTAGAGAGTCCTGTAGACCTGAGACCATAGCCAGGGGGTATGACTTAGAAGCCACAATCTTAAAAGCCTTTGCAACAGCAGTATCACCAGCAGTTAGGAACCAAAGCTTCACCATAGCCAGGAAGCTGATGCTTCTCAGAGAACTGTCATTCTAGCAGATGGGAAGGGAGCTGGGAAAGAAAGAACATAGAGACAGCAATTTCAAACCTCTGATTAAATGACAGCACTTTATCCAGCTCCTTGCCAAGCAGAATTTTCTGTCTGGGCCATGAAAGACAGGTATTTCTTTGCTTTTTGATTCATCTTCCCTTAAAGCCTTGAGTCCTTAAAGCACATGCTCTTGGAGTTGAAGAGATGCATAGCTGTTAAGAGTAGTCACTTACTGCTCTTGCAGAGGACCCAGGTTCAGTTCCCAGCATGCTCCACCTCTTCTCTGAAAAGTGTTTGTAAAGATTTTGGCAGCATGTGGAAGTGATACTTGGATGTGTGGGCTGGCTTCAAGGCATCTTTTCCAATTTCTTTGTGATGAAATACATATAACAGAGTTTGGTATATAACTTATTACTGGTGAGTAGCCCTCGCCACTAGCCATCTTCCAAGTGTCTTCCTCCTGCAGAACTGCAGCTGTCCCCATTCCTGCCCAACACCTCTGTTCCTCTTTCTTAAGTGACAATGCCCTTGTGGGATGGGGGTCACTACTTGCCTTCTATGACTGGCTTATGTCACAGTGCCCTCCTGTTCATCTATGGCATGATATATATCAGAATTCTGTTCTTTGGTTTGTTTGTTTGTTTGTTTGTTTGTTTGTTTTATTGTGGTGTTAACTCATGTACTAGATTAGCACTCTGCAACTGAACTCATCCCCAACCTAGAAACACCTCATTTTTAGAGGCTGAACATAAACCACTTAACCTGCCGTCTGTGGGTAGACATCGGAGTTGCCCTTGTATTTTAGCTGTTGTGAACACTCCCACTTAGCCTTTGGTGTGCAGATATTTCTGGAAGTCCCTGCCAGGGCAGAACTACTTGATTATGTGCCCACTCTGTTTTTACTGTTCCTAGGAAATGCCTCACATTGTCCATAGCAGCTGCACCTTTAGCATTTTTGCCTACAGTGTATATGGGTTTCTCAGCATCCTTACCAACACCTGTTATTTTCAGGTGGGGGAGCTTTGGGGATGTTGTTTTGCTTTGTTTTTAATTTTTATTTTATATACATATACACAGAGTTGTTGGGTTGTTTGTTTTGAGACAAGGTTTCATGATGTAGCCCAGGCTGGCCTCACATTTGTAGCCACTTCCCTGCCTCTTTTCTTCTTGGATTACAGGTGTGTGCTACCGTACCTGGCTAATTGGTAGTTTCCAATAAGAATTTGTTTTCTTTGCAGAATAAAACAAAGGTCCTTGAAAAAGATGTGGGTATTCAAGAATTTAACCTAGAAAAGGTAAGAATTTTGAAGTAGTTTTTGGTTCCTTTTTTAAGGTTCGCATTGTTTATTATGAACTGACAGCTTTAACGCAGCACTAGCCTGCAGAGAGTCTTGTCTCAAGGCTAGGGAAATGGTGAACCTCGTCTCACGATGTTCACATGACTCACTTACTGACTAGCACAGGGTTACAGCACAGTGGCCAGTGATGTGGTGGCAAGTCAGAAAGACGGGTACAAATGTCCACAGTGCAGCAGGTTTCTAATATGCCAGAGAGTAGGTACTGGTGACTACCTCTTCAGAGTGTTTGACCTACTGTGGTCAGCTTCTGCATGTGGACAGCATGTTTGAGAGGTGCTTTCATCTAACTGCCTGCCACTCTGGCACTGGCTTGGTGGAGAGCATCCAGTCACAGTACTGAGTGCTGCCTGAATCCCAGCACTGTCACTAACTAGTTCATGCAGAGATAATCCATTCGGCTGTGAGATTAAACAAGGAGGAAACAGCAGTGGTTCGAGAGCCTGCTGGTGCTTCCTCAGCCAAGGCAACACTGCAGTGCCACGGCTGTGGGGCAGCGGGGCTGAAAGGCTGCTAGGGGAGCTGTCGAGTGCTGGGTCTGACTGTTGTGCATCAACAGGCTCGTCTGGAAGTACACCGCTTTGGGATCACAGGCTATGGCAAAGGAAAAGAGAGAGTCCTGGAACGGGAGCGGGCTATCATGCTGGGGGCTAAGGTGAGAGCTTGCCTACTGTGGCCAGGCATGGGGACAAGGGACTGCCCTTTTATTTGTACCAGAAAGACTGATGATGTGCCATTATCCTTTCCTTCCAGCCTCCCAAAAATAGTTACGTGAATTATAAGGTTTTACAGGAACAAATCAAGGAGAAAAAGGCAGCACTGGAAGAAGAAAAGCGAGTGGTGGGTGTGATGTGTCTGCACTTTACTCTGTTAAGCAGGTGGGCGGGGGGAGGGGGCTGCCTCATGGCTGGCATGCTGGCACTCATAGCTTGCCAAGCAGTCAGGACATCAGACACCAGGATTGCCTAATAAACTACACACATACACACACACACACACACACACACACACACACACACACACACACACCCCTGTTGTTTCAGCTGGGACATCAGACACCAGCATTGCCTAATAAACTACACACATACACACACACACACACACACACACACACACACACACACACACCCCTGTTGTTTCAGCTGGGCTCCATCAGCTAAGGCATCTGGCCTGGCCAGGGTGAGGTAAGGCTGGTTTTGAGGCAAAAGGTCATTATCATTGCCACATTGTCTGTCTGCTGAGTGCCCACCACGTGCCCAGTAGGTGTTGGTGCTTGGCTCTGGTTGTCCCAAGGGAACCCTGTCCTCCAGGGGTCATGGCAGTGAGGAAAACTACAACCAAACTCTTGTTTTCTTGTGACAAGGTCTCAGTATCTAGCTGGCTTAGAATTGTCATTTCTCCTGCCTCTGCCTTCTGAATACAGAGTCTGGGGTATACACCACCAGATTCCCATAACCTGTCACATTCTGTAACAGTTCAGGGTAAAGCTTTTGGGATTGTGTTTAATATACCCACTGGAAAACGTTTTATGTCCTGTTTTTGGGTATTCACTATCCATTACTGACATACTGTCCTAAATGTTAATTCAGGCTCGGGACACAGACATTTTCAAGAAAAAGAAGAGAAAAGGGCAGGACGACAGGTGAGTGGTGGCCACAGATGCTGGGTCGTCACTAGCCAAACCTGTAGCTGGTTCCCTCACGGTGCCTTGAGTGTGTACAGCACCCCAGCCCTCTCAGTTACCTGTGTGGGCCTTAAACAGGGGGTAGATTAGGAAACTGCCCCAAATCAGCCAACTGCATGAGACTGAATGCAGCATCTTCTCTGGTCTCTATTATCAGAGACCAGACACCTCCAGTGATTCATGAGAGGCTGGGGTTGGCGTAGCTGGCCTGATGTGCCACACACTCAACAGTGGAGCATCTTGATGTGACATGGGGAAATAGCAGGCAAGGGGCCTGGTGCTGGTCTTAGCTTTAAGTGAGGACTCCCCTCTCATCTGGACCCTCCACACTGGACTTTTCATCTTAGCCCTTCCTCACAACAGTGTCTTTGTCAATTGAATGCTCACTGTGTGCCAGGTAAATGTTGGTGCCCAGGTGTAGTCGCCCCAGGGTAGTCTTGTCCCTGAAGGGGCACGGCAGTGAGGGAAGCATCCAACTGTGAAAACATAAATTGATGATGTATAGTGGGGCTTAGAGAACATTGCTGGGGGTGAGCTAGAGGTCACTTCAAGGAGGTGATGCCTGTGAGGAACTGAGCAGGGGGAAGGGCCACCCTGGAAATAGTGTTCCACGCCTTCCTGAAGCAAGAGACCAGTGTAGCTGCGATAGGGCCTGCACAAGGAGATGGCTGCAGGTTGTGATCCTGCTCGCTCTAACTGCCCGGCACCTTTTTCTTACCCTCAACACAGGAGATCCAAGAAGTCAGCTCCCAGCATTTTGTCAAATGGAAGAGTTGGACAAGTTGGAAAATTCAGAAATGGGACGTTGATTCTAAGCCCCACAGATATCAAGAAAATAAATTCTTCCAGGGTAGCTAAATGATGTACTCTGTCAGCTCCAGAGAGGAGTGGGGACAAGTGACAGTGCTGACACGAGACCCTGCCAGCCCTGCAGACTGCTCTTTCATGTTTCACGGGACCTTTTTTCATTTGAGGAGCAAGACTGATAAACAGCATGGTGACCCTGCTGGACGCCGGGGGCTGCCTAGGCTCCACTCCCATGTGCTGAAAAGGTTGATCTCTCTGCAGTGTTGGTGACCCTGGCTCCACTCCTGTTTCTGGTTCCCGGTGTCAGCAACTTGGTTGCAGTCCACTTTTTCACATTTTTGCTGTCTCGTCAGTGTTTGTGATTGAGATTAAAGTGCCTTTTGGACTTTTAGTGACAGTGTTACTGTGTCATGAAAGAACTAAGAACTCTTGTCTTTTGTTGGTTTTGTAGAAAAGCAGTTCTATTGTAAGCCTACTATGGGTGTAAAATGTATTTTGTAAGAATTTCCAAAATGACACCTCTGTAATATGAGTGACACGGGCTGTTCTGACTGGTTTCCCACTCATACTTGGAGTTGAACCTCACAAGGCCATGTTTACAGTGGTGTTGCCCCTGCCTGGGTGTCAGTGTCTTCTCAGAGAGTGAGGTGAATTAAAGGAAAAACTCCAGTGAGAAGAACAGTTATGGTATTATCCACCTTAGGAGTTTGGCTCTTTGTCCAGCAAGCAATGCTATGTGGGTTTGGAAACTTATAAGTCATTGCCAGCAGGCTGTCAGGTGGCCCTGAAAGCATCACCAAACCAACTCAGATGGAGTCCAATTTGTTAGATTTTTTTTTTTAAATGACGTTTTAAAGTTTATTTTGTATATATATGCCATGTATATGGTGCCATGGTGTTTGCGTGGAAGTCATAGGACAGACTTTCAGGAAGCCACTATGCAGGTCCCAGGAATTGAATTTGGGTTGTTAGCAAGCATCTTCATCCACTGAGCCATCTCACCAGTCCAGGTTTAGAAGATCTTAAACATGACAACACTAAGGAAATGAATGTTAGGAGACAGAGATGACCTATTAAAGGGGGCACTGGATCAACTGACTCCATCTTATCAAGGAGAGGCTGGGGGAGGTAGAGTTCTACCTCCATGAGCCATCAGGGCTTAGACAACTGAGGACTCTGCCAGCTTGGACCAGAGCCAAGCAGAGTCCATTTTGGGAGAGTATGCAGATTCTCAGTAAAAATGACTAGATCTAGTTTCTGCTTTTTAATTTACTATGTAAATATTTATGCTCGATGCTCAACACTTAACAAAAGGCAGAGAGCTATATATACTGCATAAATACTTAAAGCTCAGTATGCTGACCACTGAGCAGTCTAGAAACACCCAAGAGGTTTGAAGGCAGAGTACCCACAAACAGTTCTGTATTCTGGGTACAGAGCATTAAGCTTAAATCGGTGTTCTGGATGACGCCTTCTGATGAGGTTAACTCCAAGGAGTGGTTCTCAGCCTGTGAGTTGTGCCCCCCCCCCCAGGGATCAGACAACCCCTTTCACATATCAGATATTTACAATATGATTCCTAACAGCAAAATTAGAGTTAAATGTCAACAAAATTTTATGGTTGGGAGTCACCACAACATAAGGAATGTCACCATGTTAAAGGGTTACAGCATTAGGACGATTAAGAAGGACTGAACTACAAGGAAGTGACCATCAGAAAGTCATGCTAAGGAAAGCAGGTCATGTCTGAGTTCTTGCTCTAGCCACCAAGTGTGGGACCTGGCCTCAGTGTACCTCTTCAGGGTTCAGTCCATGCAGCTGTACAGGACACATGACACAGGCAGGGCTGGTGAGATGGAATTGGGTTATACAGTAAACCAGTTGAACTTGCTAGGAAAGGACTGCAGAGCCAACTGCTGACAGAGTCCCCAGACAGTGGAAAGGCGCTGCTGGGTAATGCTCTTAGCCATCGCTGATTTTGAACCAACATGGCAAAGAAACACTGTATTGATACTCAATGAGATTGATGGGGAAAGCTGACATCACCTCTAACTGCACCTGTTTTACACTGCCACCGTTCAGAGGCAGTGCCTGTCGCCAGTGCTTCTATTGTAGCCATGTGACTGGCTTCCTTAACTACAGTGATTTCTCCCTTCCTCTCTGCATAATTCACCTATCTGGCCTCAGCTCAGATATTTCTCTGGAATTCATACCAGTCTTGTATCCTACCAAAGTACTCCCATGATTCACACTAAACTTTTGTGTCTACTACACCTATCCACAGTACTCCTCTTGTATCCCCCACTATTCCACTCATGATCACCTTTGTTTTCGTGTATGCACAGATACATATATGTCTTCAGGTTTGTGTATACATGTGTGTAGGTGTGTGACCAGAGGAGAGCCTCGGCTGTCATTCCTTCGGTACTATTCTTGCTGTTTGTTTTGTTTTAAATTAATTGTTTTAAAGTGTGTGTGTGTGTGTGTGTGTGTGTGTGTGTGTGTGTCTTTCTCCTGCATGTATGTCTGTGCACCACCATCAAGCTTGCTGCCCAAGGAGGCCAGAGGAGAATGATGGAAACCCCAGAATGGGAATTACAAATGGTTGAGTGTTGTGGAATAGAGTATTTTTTAACCTGTAAAGATGTGTTGCATTTGTTTGTGTTGCAGAGTATTTGTTTAACTATGTAAAGATGTGTTGCTGTTTCACCTTGCCTGCCTAAGGCACCTGATTGATCTAATAAAAAGTTGAATGGTCAATAGCTAGGCAAAGGCTGGCAAGCGGAGAGAGAAAAGGGGAGCCAGCCAGCCAGCCTGATCCCAGATAGACGGACACAGAGGAAGCAGGAAAGCAGTATGGACAATACGTAGATGAGATAAATGAGCCTCAGGGTAGCAGATAGATTAATAGAAACAGGTTAAGTTTCTTAAAAAGCTAACTAGAAACAAATCTAAGCTAAGCCTGAACATTATTATTAATAAGTCTCCTGTGTCACGATTTGGGGGCTGTCGGTCCAAGAAAGCCTGATACAGTTGAGCCACCATGTGTGTGCTGGAAATGGAACTCAGAGCAAGTGCTCTTTGACTGCTGAGCCATCTCTCCAGTCCCACCTTGTGTTTTGAAGTAGTCTCTCAGTGACCTGGAGCTTATTGTGTAGGCTAGGCTGCCAGGTTAATGAGTCTCTCCAGCACAGGGATGCAAGCTCTGGTCACCATGCCCAGAATTTGTTGAGGGGCTCCTCAGCCTTCCTCAATGAAAAATTCCCAGCCCTGAGAGACAAAGAACTTTAGTTAGCATGTAGCTGTAGTCCCTAGCTATTATGTAAATAGGTTCAGCCTTGATCAGAGATAGTCCATGGCTTATGCAGGACTAGGCAATGTCACTATCATATGACCATCTTAGGGTGGTCTTTTTATCCCCACCCCATCCCCAGAGAGATTTCTCCTAGAGCTAAGCAGGTTTTACAGAAGCTAAAATTTGCAAGTTTCTAGTTAAGACAGTTTGACCTTTAGCAAACAGAACTTGCTGTCTGAGTGCATATTGGTGGCAGTCACTTCTCAAGGGAAAAGAGTACATGTGGCCCTTTTCAGAAATAAGGAAGGGCCAAGCAGGCTCATAGAGCCGAAGTCAGCATTCAGGGTTAGCTCTGCTGTCTCAGATCAGTGTCTTATCCCATTTTCTTATTCTCATATAGCATAGTATTTCCTAGATAAGTCTGGTTATTACAGTGTTAAAGCTTTCTGTGTTCCTTTTCTCCTTCAAGCTCAGCTGCAAGTATCAGAATGAGTTTCATGGAGGAGGCCATTCTGTCAGGCCTTCACCAAGTTGGTTATTCATTTGTCTTCATGCTGTACACTCAGGTGCCATACTTCACACTGTAGCCTTATGGTGAGCATGAAGACAGTAGAGACTGACATGACAGGAGGCAACCGGAATACTGGGACGTAGGTGAACTGCCCAGCCCTAGAAAGAAGAGGACTCTCAGTAAGTTCTATTGTTTTGGTTTGGTTTTGAGACCGAGTCTCTCACTCCATAGCTAAGGATGGTCTGGATTTTATTATGTAGCTCAGGCTGGCTTCAAACTCATAGTGAACTCCTCCTCAACCTCCTAAGTGATAGAATCACAAGAATAAGCCACAATGCTCAGCTTTTTATTGGGTCTTAATAGCTCCCTTGTTGGGTCCTGCTTCCTCCCAAGATCACTGGAAATATACTCCAACACCATAGCTCACCTCCCTCAAAATTCAACCATACAGGGTTAGAGAGATGGCTCACCTGTAAAAATCACTTGGCTGCTCTTCTAGAGGTCCTGAGTTCAATTCCCAGCACCCATATGGTGGCTCACAACCATCCACAATGAGATCTGGTGCCCTCTTCTGGTCTGCAGGCATATAGGCACCGTATACATAATAAATTAATCTTGAAAGAAAAAAAATACAAAATACAACCTATAGCTACCTCCACTGCACCTACTAAGCCCCATCCACTAGTCTTAGGAGCAGTTGGACAGAAAAAGACTATTTAAATGTGGTACAGGCCTTAAATCCCAGAACTCAGGAAGTCAAGGCAGACAGATCTCTTGTGAGTTTGGAGAAGGATGTACATAGTGAATTCCAGGCCATCAAAGGCAACTCAGTGAGAGTCTGTCTCAAAAAAAAAAAAAAAAAAAAAAAAAAAAATTTTTTTTTTTTTTTTTTTAAATAATGGCGAAAGGAAGGCAATGAAGGACATTCCATACCAGATGTGACTGTTCTCAGTCACATGGCTGAAGACATTTGTCATCCTTGATGCTCAGCTTGCTCAGAGCTATCCTGGAGCCCAGGTCAGTTTTTCATAGGTTTATCTAGTTTCCCAGATGGGGTGTCACCATAAAGAACAGGCTGGTCTTGAACTTGTGATCCTCCTGCACCAACCTCCCAAGTGCTGAGATTACAAAAGTGTGAGCCACCACACCTGACTAACATTATGTGGACTATTTATCTCAATCCTATATGTAGTGTTACATATCTCCAGGCTTCTTGCCTTTTAGAAAAGTGAATCCATGAGGTAGCGAACTGGCTCAGTTGGTAAAACACTTGCCATATAAGCATGCATACATTAGATTGAGCCATAGAACCCATGTAGATAAAAGCTGGGGAAACAGGGTGCACTTAGGATCCCAGCATTGGGGTGTTCTTGGGGCTTGCTGCCCAACCAGGTTAGCTGAATTGGCAAGTGTTAGGCTCATAAAAGGACCTATCTAAAAACAAAACAAATAAACAAAAAAAACCTAATTAACTAAAAGGAGATTGACCTCTAGCATCCACATATGTACAAATATGTACCTGTTCTCTCTCTCTCTCTCTCTGTCTCTCTCTCTCTCACACACACACACCACTTTTAAATGAAAC